GCGAACGAAGGGCAAATTAATAAATTGTACTAAAGTATTTTGAATACACTGCGTACACTTTTTCCAAATATAAAAAGAACAATAAATTTATTAGATGATAATGAAATATGTCGATAACTTGTTGTTTATTTCCACTCTCCATATCAATCAAAGTTAAATATTTGTTTAATTTTTCTCGCATTAAGATTTATATCTCTATTCGGGTGTCTAATAAAATAGGTTTTCTCTTCTCCTTTGAACTATTTTAAACTGACGACAACAACAATCGATCAGATTTGCTATTATCTAATATTATGGAATAAAAAAACGGAAACACGTTCTATTCTTTAACTATTTAGTGTAATAAATCTTTTATGTTTGTATGTGGCACAATATGGATAGGAATACTTTAACAATGTGTAAGACAATTTGTCATTTTTTATCTGACACTAGGTGAATAACAATGAAAAGAGTTAAGTAATCGTATGGTCTTGATTGTTGTTTCATTTTCTATGTTCTTTTATCTTGAGTACATTTACTACATTTTCTGGATTCTATTTTTAACAAAAAAATTTTATGGAACATTTGTCCATCAATTGAGTATTTCGTGAAATATTATCATCATATGACGATCAAACTGTGTCTGCTAAGAGCGATGTCGATAATATGACTATCTTTAGAATACGCCACAAATTGTCATCCATTTATTTTTAAAAGAATGCGTGTGGCTATTTATTAAATAAATTTTCGACAAAATGTGCTAAAGATACGTACTGTTCGCTAATCGAAAGAGAAAACATGACAATGTCTTTTCACTAGCAAAATAGATTTGAAAATGCTTCTCAAAAATAGATTTTGAGGGAAATCTTTGGAAAGCCGGCCTAGTCCACTGAAAACGAAAGTGATTCACTTAAAAACCATCAGAATGGAGTTGAAAAATACTGAATATCTAGTATGTCGGCTATTCTATATTATAAATATAATATCTAGCAGAATATATTGTGAAAGATCTATAAAAATATTTTTCAATATCATTTTAGTTTTTGGTAAACTTCACTCAAAAATCTATTTTCGAGAAACATTTTTAAATTTGTTTCGCTGATGAAAAGATATCTTCATGACTTCTTCTCTTCTGATTAGCAAAGAGCGCCTATCTTTAGCATTTTTCGTTCAAAAGTTATTCAGTCAAGAAAATTTTCTTTGTAGTTAGAAATGTGGAGCTATTTTTTGATTTGATTTTCAAATGCAAGTTGAGTTACATGATTTGTTCAACGTATTTAAAAGTCGTATAAGTGTTATACACTATAGATTCTCATTAAAATAAGTTTGAGGAAATGAGTTTTTTGTTAAATACATGATGTGAATGAGTACACACCTTCTAAATAGTTAAGTAAGAGAGAAAAACATATTTTATTGTTAACAGACGATTTAGCTCAACAAAAAAAAAGAAGAAAAATCGAAAGTGCATATAGACGTGTCACAAAATAAATGATTAAAATCTATATGATTTAAACTACTATAGTAGATGTTTTACATAAAATTGTGTCATTTTGATAATGATGATGATAAATTATTTGCTACATGTGGATATATCAACAGAATAAAACGAAAGAAAAAAAATCGATCAAAGAGAGACTTATTTATTTTTTCAATAAAAAAATCGATTGATTACATCAGCATGATAAATTATGACCAAATTTTATTGTTAACATATTGATTAGAGAACGAAAAATGAGTATAAAAAAGTTGTTCTTTTTTTCATTATCTTAGAATTTGGTCAGAATATTTTCTACAATTATAAACTATATCATAACAATGATCCATGTTTGAATTATACATTACAAAAAAAGAAAATCATATTGAGTAGGATCAGAAGATACTTTAGATACAATGTTGATTTTTTTGAGTTAAAACTCGATTAATATCAATATAAAACCTGATCAATTTTTTCTATTCAAATTACCAAATTAATTTTTGTAATTTGCATGTGATCTAATCTGATGTATATAATATACAAGTCACGTATGACATTAAGGTTCATTATTCATCAAATGAGCTATATAAATTGCTTGAGGAAACGTTTATAAAAAAAAAGCACATACAACACATATATAGAATTTTAACACTTTATACAATAGTTTTCATAGAGAAATGGCATCAATACTAATTATCGTGCCTTTTAGTCGTTTTTATATAAATTATTTTCTTTCCGTGACCGCTTCAGTTTTTCTTGTTGAAATAATATATGTCATCGTTTTCTATTACATCATTATATCATCATCATTATCATTTTAATAGAATCTTATACGAGAGAACCCTTTATTATTAATATCTCTTTGTGTATAGAAAGAAAAAGGAGAAAGAAAATGTAATAGAAGATGTGTACGTACAAATAATCGACTAACAATATGGAATGAAGGATTAAAGAGGAAAGTGTATGAAAGTGTGTGTTTGTCTTTAACATTGAAGATTATTTGTCACACACACAAACACACACATACACATACCTATAGACACTCTCAGAAAGGATTTACAATCGATAATAATGATGATGGGTTGACGGTAACTATACTTTGAAATTTGACCCACCGTCATGATGAAGAATCAATAAATAATTGAGTAGATCTACAGTATCTACAATATACTCATAAAATTAAAAAACAAAGTTTTGTTGACATAGCATCTCTATACTTGTTCGTTAACCATCAAAGTATGTATATAAAGAGAGAGAAAGAGAGAGAGAGAGAGAGAGAGAGAGAGAGAGAGAGACGGTTATATTGCCTTTCGATGTCACTTGAGAGAGAAAGACGTGCACTTGATGATGAAACAGCAACATATTTCTCTCATCTCTTGTTCAATTCACCACACATGATATGTTATAAAAAAAAAGAAGAGAATAGATCTTTCCAGATGATGCCATAAAATAGATTATACTTTACCTATAACATAAAAATAGAACTATAAAGAGCGACTGTAATCCGATTTTCAGGTATTATCTTGTCTACATTTAGAAAAAGAACAATATTACAGATGCCTAAAGGGAGCAATACGGGCGTATGCACATATCATACTTTGAATTATGATACCGAGTTTATTTTAAAATTTTAAAAAGTTATCGACTGTTTTTTTAGTTATAGACGTGTTAACAATTTGTGTTGGAAAATGAATCTAAACTTTACTGGAAAAAGTAGTCGACTCTTTAACAATGACATCACATTTGAATATGGTCGGTAAAGTTGTCAAATAATTGATTTTGTAACTGTCATTCTGATTTATAGTGCAAAAGATAGGAAAATTTTTCCACTCTGTTTGAACAATTGTTTACTTAGAACAATTTTGTTCAGATAATAAGCAGTTGCCAGATAGTTCGTTGAAATAAATACAAAGGAATAAAACCCGTTATAGTAACGAGATAAATATATTTCTGATGATGATAAACGATGAAGAGACATATATTATAATTGAACCTTGACAATTATTGGGATAACGGGTAGATACTTCTTTAGTAATAGGAAATGAAAGAGAAAGAGAGAGAAAGAGAAAGAAAAGAGAAACAAGAAGAATTTTAAAACTCATCAAAAACTATTTTTTCAATTGTGTATGTCGAATGCTTTTTGCACCGTGAAGCGCAAAAGCAAAAAAAAGCGATCGATCAAACAGTCAACACACTCGTTTTACATAACGAAAAAATTTCTTCATGTCACACGTTTTTCTATTTTTCGAAAAAATTTAATTTATCAAATATCTGTATCTATCAACAGTAGAAGATATACGAATGTTCGTTCAAGCACACAAATATTTTCTTCTTTCTCTCTCTCTCTCTTTCTCTTTCTCTTTTCCGTTATATGGCTGCTGATGATAGTACCTGTATTAAACCTTGCTTAATCTTACAATTCGATGAACACACGAAGACACTCTCAAGGTTTGTGCAGATAATAGAGAAAAAAATTCTTTTTTTTTCTTCATTTATTCTTTACGATCATAAAAGTAGGAAGATCTATTTTTATATTATATATCTATGCCTCGATAATGATAAGTAGAAAGAGAGATAAATACTATTAAACTAAATAAAGATTGACATATCTGAGGTCATTTAACGAAAAAAAAATCGATCGTATACTGTTATCTTCCTCTTTCTCTCTCTTTCTGCGTTGTTGTGTTTTTTTTTTTTGTTGTTCATGTCATCTTTTTTTTTTGTTATTCTCTACATCTAATCATTGTCATTTCAGCTAAATATTGTTTTGTGTGGAACTAATCTGATTGTTCCTGTTTGGTAATGTTCAAGTGCATTATCAACATTGAGAGAGAAAGAGAGAAAGAAGTATATGTATCTATCCTACAGGGCATCATCTTTGAAGGAAATCTCTTCTTTTTTTTGTTGTATTGTATAAATAAATGCGCATGTTAATTATATAAAGATCTAATATCTGGTCAGCATGAATGGATTTTTGTGGAAACACCACTCAAGGTTAAATGTCTCGTTAAACATATCTAATCAGGAAATAAAGTCCCAAGTTAAAAAAGGCGTATTCAATATTCATTTCCGTCGGGTATATAAAAGTAAGTTAAAAAAAGTGTAAATCTAAAGAAAACTGTATAGGCTTACATCACGGAACTGAAACCTTTTTTTCTTTTTTTTAATAATTTTTATTATCTCTTCTATACATCATTAAATTTTTAAGTCAAAATTTGAGTGAATAATTGATTGTAGTTTAGATATCAGATTCGTTGTGTTGATTGTGGTTATAGTTCTCAATTAACTCTTATTGTTTGATTAAACAAGTCAAATGTAAGAATAATACATTTTAAATATATCTTTTTCTGAACAATGATGTCAGAATTAGACATATATTTTGTATGAACATATTAGAATGTCCAAATATTTGTTGATTTATCTCACTTACAATAAACGAGTATATTTCTCACTTTGATATTGTCAAGTATCTTCTGATAATATTTCTTTTATCTATTTTTTTTTTCTATTTTAGAAGCATTTAATAAATGTATCGTGATATTCAAAGATGATGAGTGATCGATGTTCAAATTCCTACTGTATTGGTCCACCGCCACTATTTTCTCTTCGACCACCACCAAAACCGCCGGCATTTGAACAATTTCAAATTGAAATATTAAATGGTCAATGTCTTCATCGACCATTAATTGTTCAAAATACAAATGGTGATCGTATTAGTGCATCATCGCATCAAACTCTTCCTACTGAAAAAACGAATTGGATCAATGTATTTCTATTATTATTAGCCTTGATTAGTATTATATGTTGTATTATTATTGCTACATTTATTTTCATCTGTCTTAGGTAAGTCAATTATTCAGAATAACCATCCATAAATCTTTATATTACGTTAATGTTTTGATCTGTTTTTTTTTAAACAGGAAATTAAAAAAAGAAGAAAAGCAATATAAAAGTTATGTTATGGGTTCATTAATTTCACGCAAAAGTGCTACTACCAGCAACGGAGATTATGCTATCAAGGTAAAAAAAAAAGAAAGAAAACGAATAGGAAATGAAATTGTTTGATCCATTTCATATATAATTATAAAGATTAGAAAAGTGTTTTTTGTCTCATGTGTCTGCATCATTCATCAAGGCAAGAGAAAAAAGGATTTTAGTTTGATTAATATATGAAGGACACATACACACGATGTGAATGAAAATGAACAGAAAAACACCTTTTTTATTTAAAGCTATGTCATAAACAGCACCAGATAACAAGTGTTACTGGCTTTTAACACACACACTAGTAGTTATAATATCAACATTCAATTGAATTTGCATTAAAAAGAAAGAACAGTCAAATTTGATATAAATATAGTGTAACAGAGAATGAAGTGTTCTCTAAGAAGAGCCGGGCCACTATTTGATTGTTAATAATTTATTCTGAGAAAAAATATCTTCCGTCTATTAAATTGTGTAAACATGCTGATTTTCTCCAATAAAAATGTCCGTTATATTTTCAATTTTTCATTAACTAAAAAGAATGTTAAATCATTATTGAGTTATGAGTCATGTAAAACTTCTCTTGACACTGTCTTCATATATCCCATTTTTAAAAATAAATTTGTCATTTAAACAGTTATATTAGAATAAAAGTACTTTACGTAATATGGTCTCACTTAGTGTCTTCATAACTACTTGATAAAATACTTAAGAACATAATTTTTTTTCTTTTCTTTTTTTAGTGTCCTGCAGGTTGTTGTGAAGAATATCATCAAATTGTTCATCCTACATGTTCTAGTCAACCACTACCTTCTTCAACACCCACATCAAATATTCCTCATGAAATCTATTCTCCACCGTCTCATACGATTCATCGTTGTCGATCTCGCGCATCTATGGATCATCATCAATATGAATGTATTCCTGAACATTATCTGTTTGCTACCATGGATCGAAAATCTACTACTACTAATAATAATAATAACAATAATAATAATGCTTCGTGTAATTATAATAACTGTTGCTCAAATACTTTTCTAAAGCATTATCATATTTGTCATCATCAACAACATAAAACAAAATCGTCAATTCAACATACAGATACGACTCGTCCTCTCTCTTGTGCTCCTTACTCAACATTTTCACGAATTATTAAACAATCTCAACAACAATGCGTCGATATTCATTCATCTCCACCATTACATCCTCTCGAGACAAATGAACAATCAACGAGTAATAGCTGTGCATCAGATAATCTTAGTCGTTGTACATGTTCAACTCGCACACCCCCAAACGACAATTTACAAATATGTTCAACGTGTAATCCAAATGAGTCAACATCGTTACTTCTATTAGAACAACCACAGCAACAACAACAACAGGAACAGGATAAACGTTTGATACCTAAAACAAATCCATTTATCTCGAATAAAATTGTTGAATCAACAATCTTAGATAAAAAGAAAAATAACCCATCGTTAATTGTTGGAGGAATGATGATTGGATGGACACGTAGACAACGAAAATCATCCATTACAGAAAATCGAAAAAATTTTATATCAAATTTAAGAAAATCAGCTGTACAATAAATTGTTCTTCTTTGCTTTTATGCACAGTGATTTTATTGTTAATGGTTATTTTTTTTAATTTTATTTGATATTTTATAAGAAAATTAGTTGCTTACGCAACAATCAGAAATAGATGAGAAAAGAAACGACAGAATGAGCTTGTAGACGAACAAGCGTATAGGCTAATGAACAGTTATATTCATAAAAGCCAATGGTCCATAATGTATAACTATGTCTGTTAAAAAAAAGCTATTCCCCATTCATTTTATATAATTCTCTAATTGTCATTCACTTTGTCACTGTTTTCTAATCCAATTCATGAAGGAGAAAACAGAAATGTTTAAAAACTGCTTGCACCAGTTTTTTTATTAACTGTACAATATCAAAGTATTGATATACGAATACAGTTGTAAATTCTACTATTTCTGTTACTGTACCGAGTATTAAGAAGGCTACTAGCAGCGAAATCAGCTAAAAGTCATTACAGATATAAAGATATATTTACGTTAGTACATGTAACTGATACGATACGTTTGAAACAAAAAGTCAAATCAATTTAGCAAAAAAATTGTTCTGAATTAGTTTCCGTCACATTAGTTTCAATCGATTCATTATTAAATTGAGTTAAAGTAGTCTGAAAGAGCTTTAAGTCAAAAGTTCTTCTGAAGTTTTAAAATTTATCCAATTTTCGAAATAATTTAAACGAAGTTGAAATTAAAAATTCAATTAATTTTAAAAGAGTTATTTAATTATTTTGAGAGATTTTTATTTTAAATTCATTCAAATCACAAAACTAGTTTGGGTTGATTAACAATTACTTAAATGTTTCAATAAGTATCTGATGGATACATTTTCGCCATCCTTCAGCGGTACGATCGTCAAAAAACCGGATAATGTTGCTCGTACAATTGTCTAAATACTTGGCTCACGCGAAACACTTTTTGTATAGAATGTCAAGTTTTCCGGATGAGCATTTAGTTAGAAGACGACGATTTGTTTTAAAAATCAGCTGCCAAACTTGTCAACAAATTGAAATATTTTACGTACCGTCGAAACTGCTAATTTGCTGTTGCGAATATTGGGATAAGTGAGCAGTCACGACTTTATTGTCCATCTAATAAACGCTTTCTTATAAAATTCCAATGTTTTATTATATTCACCCTGATTACCATAAAGTCGTCTAATGTTATTATTATGTATAGTTGCAAGAGTTCGTTTATTTGTCGATGTTTCGTCGATTAAACATCAGAAAATATATTTTCACTTTGTTAAATTCACCTGGTGGTAACATTAATCAGTCCATTACATGCAAATTATTTGAGTCTCCAAGTTCGTCTTTCATGTAGTTAGTTAATACTTTTAACTGCATATCTTTGTCGCTGTTCAGTTTTAATTTATGTCGTTCGTCAGCTTTTGTATTTAAGCGATTCGAAACACGGTGTCCATCGAAAAGAGAACTTCTTCAAAGATACCCAAGTCTTGAAATATTCTGTCAATCTTTATCTTGAATAGAATCAATTTAGTATTTGTCTGGACATACAACTAACGAGTACATGTAAGAGCGACATTCTTGCTTGTAGTTGTTGATAAGATGTTCATCGATACTAGTTCTCTGGTATTGTGGTGTAACTGTGCAAACTTGTCGTATGACATACCTTGACCATGACACACAGTTATTATTTGGTCTAACCGAGTATTTGACGAATTTTATAGTTGTAGAAGCTACTCGTGAAGGTCGAAATTGAAAGATCTTAGTTTAAACCATATAGCCATTATGTCGAATGTTCGCAATGCTTTATTTAGAATGTAGTAGAAAAAACACTCTTTCGTGTACCACGATTTTGCTTGGTTTTCGTATATGTTTCACCGGAACCGCTCGATATACTTTAGTTCTCACTCGTCGCCTTCATACTCTGTTCGCCAGTCATCGATCAGTTACTATTTAGTTTGTTGTTTATGTGGGAATCAACTTCGAATATTGATAAATAACTGAAAATACATGAATGAGACTTTTTAATTGTTTGATCAGTGGCCATTTGTGGTTGATGAGAAGACACTCATTGGTTTGAGGAGATTTTTCGATTTAACTGCAGCATCTTTTGTTAGATGCTCATAAATATGATTGATGTTAGCAGAAACAACACGTATTTTTCCGTAATTGTTAGTCCATGGATTGTGTTTGGTTTTATGTTTTATTGGAACTGAATATGTAAACTGATTCTATTTATGGTTTGTCATGAATGAGTGAAATCTGTAATTCATCTAATGAACCAGATACAATGAAAAAGATTTTCTCTGTTTCGATTGGCAATAAGCGATCGATATATTTTTGTTTGTCATCAAAAGTTTCGACTTGATTGATTGTGCAATGAAGACAGTGTTTTGCATTTAAGTTGTCAGTTGTTGAACGAATATTTGAATCAAGCCAAATAACAGTGTTGCATTCCAGAAAAATTTTTGAGATGACTTTTACTAATGGGAGCTTCTCCTACTATGCACTGCAGTAGTTGAAATGATTGCTAGCGGTTGTAAAGTTATACAGCTTATGATTGGTTACACAATGTCGATGTCTGATGAATAGTGATAGTTATTAGAATGAGAAAAAATCATTATTATACAACTTCAGTCCCCCCGTCCGTATTCTGACTAATCACAGGCAATAAAGGGCATAAGTAACTGCAGCTATCTTTTAAAAGTGACACAAAATACAATGATCAAGGTCAAGACAGATGATATCGAGAAAACTGATATAATACATTTTCGGTGGAAATGTATAGTGATAAGAGCGAATAAACATTTATACAAGTTGCATCCACTCATCAATGTCATAACACCCAGAAATAACTGTCAATGTGACGTTTCACCTGCTGGTCATATTCAACGTTTGTTCCACCAATTATAGAAATGTAACGAATGTGTTACACAATCCAATCTTCTACATTATACCACTCTTTTTTATTGTATACTTACTTTTGCTGTAATATTAAAAATGTTAGTGGTAAACAAATTAATAAAGACTAATGCTTCACTGGTGTACCCTGCCAGTGTGGAGACATATCCCGATCGGGATATACTCCCAATCGGGATATATATCCCGATTGGGATATCATTTTTTGCAGCAAAATTTTTTTTATATCCCGATCAGGATATAATTAGATATCCCGATTGGGATATCAAGAAAATGTATATCCCAATCAGGATATAGATTTTAGAAACATTAACATGTTTCTCATCAAATCTAATTAGTTTAAAAGGAGTGTTACCGTGCCAGGCAATATGAGTAT